GAGCAGGATGGAGCGTGATGAGGGGGAGTGCAGCAGGGTGGGGCGTGACGCCGCATGCGGCGTGAGATGCCAACCACCAGGTGGGCGCGTTTGCAAAGGCCGGGCCAGCGGATTGGAGCGTGAGGCCAGCCTCAGAGCGCGCGGTGAGACTCAGAGTGCGCAGCGGATGATGCCGCGATCATGACGTGACCACCATGCGCTGCGCAGCCTGTCAAGCCAAGAGGTGGCGCGGGGCCGCACACAAACGCAGGCGCCCCGCACTGAACGCGGCGCGCCGCTCAGCCGCCCCTTACCCCAGCCCTGGAGCTTAAGACGCGGCGCTGCCGCACGAGCCCGGCTGTCCCAGAAACCCCCGACAACCTGAACCCCACGAGGCGGCTGCCCAAATTCCCAAAACCCCAGAAGCCCTGCGCCCCCAAAAGCCGGCCGCCCGAAGATCCCGAAGGTCCCTGAGGCCCTAAACCCCAGATATCCAGCCGCCCCCAAAAACCATAACCCTGCAGGCCCTTGACCCCGAAAGACCCCGCACGCCCCGACCCCGCCGCCACCCACGTTGATGAGGCGGAACAGCCCCAGGGCAGAGTCCAGTGCCTCCTCCAGCTCCCCCTCGCTGAGGCCTTTGTTGCCGCCCGCGCGCAGCCGCGCGTCGATGAACTTGGCGACCAGTTCGGCCGGCTTGTCCTTGCTGCGCGGGAGAAGGCGGTCAGCGGCGAAGGCCGCGGCAGCATTGGCGGTGGATGCCAAGGGGGAGGTCGAGGTCGAGCAGCAGCCATGGGCATGCAGGGAGGGAGAAGGTGCCCGCGATGGGCGGGGTGCTGGTCGGGTTGGATTTGAGTGCTGCTCTGAAAGTGGCGGGATGCGGGCCGAACCAGGCTCGAGGGAGAGGCTCCAACCAAGCAGGAGCGAGGGCCCGTGAAACCCACAGAAACACGCCCCCTTTAAATAAACAGGGTCGCGGCGTCGCCGCACCGCGTGTTGAGGGCGTATGACAGCGCGTCGCGCAGCGTGGCGCTGAACGCGGGGGAGCCGCCGAAGGACGCGTCCAGGACCGCCTCCAGGCGCCCCTTGAGGGCCAGCAGGCGGTCAACCATGTCCTTGTCCTGGGTTGACCAGGGTTGACCGGAGGAAAATCGGGGGTGGGGGTTTCGACCCGGGTTGGTGCACAGGTATGCTAATGTGCGATGAGGTTTGCATGATGATCTCAGGTTTGGCGCGGCCGGCAGGCCGGGCGCGGCCAACGTGGCCACCGCGGCGCGCGGCAAGGCGGGCGCGGGCCCCTGGCCGGCGGCGCCCCTTCACCTTCTCGTCATCCTTCACAATGGCGCTGCCCGCCGCCTGGATGTACTCGCGCCACGCGGCGCGCAGCGCCTCCAGCCCGCTGACGCGCGCGGCCAGGTCAAACAGCCGCCCCAGGTCGCCCGTGCGCTGCGCAGGGGGGTGCGGCATGGGGCGAAAGGCGGCGTCGGCGTGCGTGGAGGTTGGGATGGGTTTTGGGGGGGGGGGGGGTGAGCGCGGCCTGCCGGCCGCGGGTGGCCCAAGGGTGGTCAGACGAGGGCCGCGGCTGAGAAGTGCAGCCTCTCGTAAGAGCGCCTCGCTCGCTGCTGCCGCCAGCCACCGCACCCTGCCACCAGCCGCCAAGGCGGCCGCAAACCCGACGAATCCTAGCATTTGTGAGTCAGGCATGGTATGATGCCACGTTGGTCCCCCACACCTGCGCGTCAATGAGCGCCGCGAAGCTGCCCTGCGCCAGCAGTGTGGGCAGGTGCGCCGCCACCAGCTGCTGCTCCGCCTCGTGAACCAGCGGCCGCCGCGTGGACGAGTCTAGGTAATGCTGGCTGCGCTCGTGCTCCTGCAGCAGCCGCGCCTGGGAGGGATGGAACGGTGCGGGGGGGATCAAGGTGGGCAGTGGGTACTTGAGGGCGGACGTCACTCCGACCAAGCCGCCGCTAGGCCGCGAGAGAGCTGGCGTGGGGGGCGGCGGCCCGCTGCGGACGTTGCTGCAGACTCGACCACACCTGAAGCGGCCACAACACCAGCTGCCTCGCCTCACTGGCAGCCGCAGCCAGGTCTGCGCTTCACGGCTCGCCCTTCAAGCTATACACACACACACACACACACACACACACACACACAAACACACGCAAAGACGGGTTCACTCAAATCACACACTCAAACCCGCACGCTGCAACACACACGCACGCACCTCGCAGTGCGCCATGTAGGCCGCCGTGTCGCACTCCACCACCTTGGCCGCGCCCTCCGCCTTGTAGAACGCCGCCGTCTCCGCCAGAAACGGCGCCTCGAAGCGCCCCGCGTACAGCCCCAGGTCCTTGAGCATGCGCAGCAGGCTGGCGATGAGCTGGCGGTCGACGGCCTCGCCGTGTCGCTCGCGCTCGATAAGCAGCAGCAGGCCGCGCACGATGCGCGCCTCCACCTGGGCGGGTTGCGCGGGCGGGGCGCGCGCGCGAGGCGCACATGTTGTGCGCATCCTGTGGCGTCCGCGCGCTTCGCTGCATCTCAGCCCATGTTGCTGTCAGGTCGCGAACACATCAACGAAAAAAGCAGGACACAAGGCAGCAAAGCGCGAGCTGGAGCCAGGCACGTGTGGGGTGCGCATGCCTGTGGGTTCCTCTCCAGGTGGGCGCGCAGCAGCTGCAGCCCCATGTCGAAGATCGAGCGCAGCCCGGGCAGGCCGATGACAAAGGTGCGGTCCAGGTACAGGAAGATGCACCGCACGGTCAGCATCTGCGCGCAGTAGTCCTGCCACACCGCGTCGGCGCGGTCGAGAAACGACACCGCGTCCAGCTGCACCTGCCGCGCGCGCCGCGCGCGTGGAACGGTTCCTTATGTCATCCGTTGCATCGGCGGCGCGGCGTCGCGCTCGCACAGGCGGCCCGCCGTCGTGCGCGGACGGCCGAGGCCGGCGTCAGCTATCGCGTGGCTTGCGTTCCTGTGAAGCAGCTGCGCAGCAAGGCCCGCCGGGCCTCGCAGCAGCAACTGCAAATGAGATGGGTAGCTGCTCGAAGCCAGCCCAAAAAATTGCAGGGGAAAACGTCCAAGGCTGGCGGCGCACTGCGCACCTGATCCTGTAGCGTCCCCATAGCCCGCTGTATATGCGCGTCGCAGGCCGCCTGCAGGCGCCTGTACAGGCTGTCCTGCATCTTGTGGCTGCACATGTCCTCCACGGCCTGCGGGATGTGAGGGGCCGCCGCACAGGCGGGGGAGGAGGGGGAGAGCGCCCCTGCGTCACACCCTGCCTGGGGTGGGCTTGGTCAACCTGCAGCAAGGCGCTTCGCCACTGCCGCGCTGTGGCGCACCCCCGGCCCCATGCGGATCGATGCGGCCATACTTCAACACCCACCCTGTACAGCTCCTCCAGGCTGCACGCGACCGTGCGCTTGCAGTGGACCGCATCGACGGCGTCCTCCAGCTTGGCCCATGTGTCTTGCTCAAAGTTTGCCGGCAGCTTGGGTTGCTCTGCGGCACAGTATAAAAGCAATAGATATCAATGAAGACCCTGCGCCGCGCAGGAGGGGCCGAGAGGCAGCAGGGAGGCGAGTGTGCACCAAACACCCTCCCCGCGGCCTCTGCTCACGCTTCAAGGGCTTGATTACAAGTTTCTTAGCGCCTGCAGCCCCTTTCGCCTTCCCGTTCGTTGTCATAGTGGCCATGGTGGCCCCGGAGGGCCTTGCTCGATCTGCAGCGATTGCCGAGGGACCGCGCGCCTCCGTTCGGGCGGTGGTAAATCACAGGGTTAATGTCCCTCTTCTCCTCTGTGTTGACACAAGCTCAGATCGAGTGCTGCTAGTGCTAAGAGCTGCGGGTGCAATGGCATCCGGAAGGGGTTACTGGAAACGAGCAGAACAACACTTCACTGGAACATACGGCCCGACGAATCCCGAGGCGTGGGAAATCCGTTCATTCCGCGGCCCAGAAAGCCTGCGCAGGCATGACGTTTCGCCTCGCGAGCGGTGCCCCGTTGTAGCTGCGGCGCACGATTTTTGCCCGGAAAAGTACTCGTGACGCGGATGAACCCGGCGGCGCGCCGCGCCTCTCATTGGCGTCCCTGATGTGCGGTTGACCGAGCCGCTGACCGCGTCACACACCCACGCAACAAAGCCCGTGAACCAGTGCCGCAGAGGGTATGGAGCATCTGTAGGCAGATCAAGCATTTATTGCATGCCGGCACAGTCGATGGCACAGGTGTATACGCACGAACGACCCCTGATGATCAGGAGCTGCAAGCACGGCTGCGGGCAACAGACATCTGCGTCACCGGCACAGATGTCTGCAGCTGAAACCCAATCATGACATGACATGAGAGAAAGTAATTACAGGCACCTGACGCCGCGCGACACATGGGGCCAACACACTTGGCTCGGCTGCTGTGCAGTGGGGCCACCAGCCGCGCTGCACTTTGGAGGTGGTGAGCGGCTGGGCCTGCAGGCAAAACCAGATGACGTACAGAAGACCGTAACAAGGTGCATGTGATGTGTGCAAGGATCGATTCAGGGCTTTAGCCCTGAAGGTCAGACACAGGAATGCGCCTTCAAGCACCTTTGAGGCTTGAGCGTCTAGCAACGCCAGACGTGATGAGCGCGTGTGCGTCGGCGGCTGCGACAGGCGCGACGGTCGTTGGTCGGCCTGCCTGGGGGGGGGGGCGTGCAAGCAGGAGACTTCACCGCTGCTCACAGCGTCGCGCCCAGCCTGGCCCGCATGTGTGACAGGTTTTGTGGATCAATGAAATGCAATGGGATCATCTCCCTGTGCTGTGTGGAGACAGGGGACGGGTGGTGTTGACGGCTGGTGTGGCTGCTTGTTCCACCTCTGCAGCCACCAAGCTGAAGGCAGTATGTGCTCAAATGTATGGAAAAGGATGGTCTATTTTGACGTACAAGAAAGTGCAATTGCAAGCATTCAAAGCCGCTGCCCTAATCAGGGATCGCAGCATGCCTGGATCATTTTGGTGACAGCGGCAGTCTCGCCCTTTATGTTTCTGAGACACGCGGGGTAGAGGGTCCGGGCAGGGGCGACGCATGTGGTGCACGGAAGGCTTGTGCAGGAGTGTGGTCGGCGTGTGTGGACCCGTGCTATTGCAAGGGCCTGCGCCCCTACCAGCCTTGGGCGCGCGTTGCACCCGTCGCTGGGGGGTGGGAAGCGGCAGCTGCGCACCACCACGCCACAAAGCTGTGGTGTTCTGCGACGGTTTCTTCGTTCCATTGACCCGCCCCGTAGCTAGCAGGCAAAGCGCACACATGTCCCGGCCGAAACAGCACCTTGCATGGGGCACCCGCAAGCTGGCAGCGGTGATTGGCCCTCACAGCTTTGCTGGCGCCTGAGCCAGCCCTGAGCCAAGCCTTTGAGGTCGGCTGGTGGGTGGCTTCAGAGCCTGGCATGTGAGGACGCATGACGTGACAAGGAATGTCCTAATCGTGGGTGTGGGCAAACTTCTTCTCGATGAGCTCCATGGTGAGTGATTTGGGGCGCTCCAGCGGGAACCCCAGCGCGCGCGACCACACGCCCTGCGCCAGCACGCCCAGTGCACGGCTGACCCCAAACAGCACTGTGTAGAACGATTCCTCCTTGATGCCGTAGACTGCAAGTTGGCCACATACAGTGTGGGGGTGGGGTCAGGCTCTAGAGGGTGCCGCGACACCTGCCACAGCACAGCTGCAGCCCAGGCCAAACAGAGTAAGAGAGTGAGGGCAGTAGGGCCTCGGTTGTGGGTATCAAGCTGCTACTGCACACACCCAGCAGGGGCGGGCGGGCAGCCGGCGGGCAAGGGTTGAGCGGATGGGGCAGCTCACATTGCAGCAGCACACCGCTGTGCGAGTCCACGTTGGGCCACGGGTTCTTGACCTGCAAGTGCGGTTGGGCGTGGAGCAGGCGTGCGTGCAGGGAATGTGGTATGCACATCAATGGTGCACTAGGCGCCGCCGCTCGCAGGCAACGGCGCCACATGCCTTGACAGGCACGCAATCACGCAGCTCAAGCGCACTGTTGCCTTGGACCGCCCGACCATGTGGCGCGCATGCACCAGCTACGCCGTGACAGCTTTGACCAGTCCGGGCGCCAAAACATGGCGGTATTGCCCAGTGCGCCACGGCATCCGCACTCAGGGCGGCACGCTATGGCCAGTTTTTGTGGTGCTGGTGCGCCCAACACCATCTTTCTGCACTGCGCACGCACCTATGCAGCCACGCCGTACGGCCCCCAGCAAGCAGCAGCCCCACCTTGCCGGTCTTGAGGAGCACAGCCGGCACCACCTCATACAGGTCTGAGCACAGCTTGAACAGCGGGTAGTCCGCCATGTGCTTTAGCGCAAACTCGCGCTGTGAGGATCGTGGAGAGTGAGCAGCAAATGACGGTGGCCGAAGAGTAGTGACGTGGCGTGCAGAATTGAGGTGCACAAGGAGGTGCAGTGAGCTCAGAATGAGGCAGCATGCACGCCTTTGCCTCCGCTAGCATACAAGCAAATCGTGCACATTGGTTGGGCGGCAGGGGCGGCAGCACATTCCTGAAACCGCTAGGGCCAGCTGCTGTTGGGATGGCTCACAAACCTGGCAAGTGTAGCGGGGGTCTGTGGTGCGCAGCACCGCGTGTCCATAGCCGGGCACCACCTTGCCAGCGTTGAGGGTGTCCCACACAAACTGCGTCAGCTGCTCCTTGGTTGGCTGAGCACCCAGCTGCACAGGGGTAGCGCAAAGGGTGAGCATGAGGTTGGCGCGGAGCGCGTGTGCATGTGCTATGGTGTACATTCACGACATGCAAAGTTTGGGCACACATACAGAGCGAGGCCCAACGGCTTCACCTGCCTTGACCCGCCCGTGGCACCACCTGGCAACTCACCTCGCAATCCGCCTCACCAAGCCCCACAATCAGGCACTGCAGCCTCTCACCGTCCTCTGGACGTCAAACATCCACCGCAGCACCTCCTGGTTGGCCAGCCCGTGCAGCGGCCCCGCCAGACCCGCGACGCCGGCCGCCAGGCACAGGTAGGGGTCTGACAGCGCGCTGCCCACGAGGTGCGTCGCGTGGGCCGACACGTTGCCGCCCTCGTGGTCCGCGTGGATTGTCAGGTACATGCGCATCATCTCGCGGCAGCCCTCGTCATCAAAGCCTGGCCAGGGGGAGGCAGGGGCGGGGTGGTCACTGACCGGCAGTGCCCACAGTGCACGGACGCAGTTGAATTTTGAGGTTTGTTTTGAAGCACCTATAGAGCTGCGTTGGATGGGATGGCTTTGGAGCTGTGCGGGCTGAGTCCAATCAAGCAACGGTCAGGCACACTCTCAGATAGCGCTGTTCTGCGGGTGCCTCGGGCCGTGTGCCCGCCCGACCGCGCGGCCTCATACCCATCATGTGCGCCAAGTTGGCGGCCCAGTCCAGGGAGGCGTCGGGCTCGATGTAGTCGCCGCCGTGGAACGCCTTGCGGTAGATGGTCGCGGCTATGGCGGGCAGCTTGGCGATGAGGTTGAGGGAGTCCTCCAACACGGGGTCCCAGTACCTCGACTTTGGCAGCCCGGCCTCGTACGCCTTGGCAAACTGGCTCTCGGGCTGCAGGTCGGTCGCCGGCGTGATAGAGGGGGGTCGGCGGCGAAGCAGAGTTGGTGGAGGCCTTTGCTATGCGCCCAGCTGGCTCTTGTTTGGGAGAAGAAATCAACTGCACGTGAGGACCGATGAGTGCGGCTTGGAATTGAAGTGGCACATGCTTCGGAGCGGCAAACGGGCAGCAGGCAAAGCGTCATGCCTGGCAGGCGGTCCCGGCCGTTCGGGGCAACAGTGGCATGCGTGCGATGCTTGCCCGGGCGTGTCCACCTGCAGCGCAAGGATGCCGGCCGCGAACTGCGTCATGGGGTGCGCATCCGCTGGCAGCGCCTCGAGCACGCGCTTGACGTAATCGGGCAGGGCGGCGCGGCGCCGCAGCTCCTCTGACACGGCCTCGGCCTGGGCCTTGGTGGGAATCTTTGAGGGCAGGTGGGGAGCATGCATGATAGCGACCAGATGTAAACCACGCGCCAATGTGATGGAAGGTCAAGGGCCCCCGGGGAGGCCCCTCTCATTGAGGGTGGGGAGCGGCGTGTGCAGGCACCATTGGGAGGTGCATGACGACGGTGGATTTCTGCGCGCAAGCCAGCGGTACTGTGCCGCTGCATGCGGAGAGCGGGTGGGTCATAAGCGGTGATGACGTCGGTGGGTGGCAGCCAATGTCGCTCACCTGGCCTGTGAGGAGCAGCCACAGCAGGCCCTCGGGCATGGGCTCACCGCCCTCATTCACGGTGGGCAGCAAACGCTGCCGAGAGGTCACGTGTTGAGGCCGAGGAGGAGCGAGGGAGGGATTGGGACATGACATAATAGCCAGCTATAAATGGTTGACCCATGCAGCATATCAGACGGTGGACGAAGTTGGAGATGTGTGGCTGCACCACGGTTCGTTGGAGGTTTGGGACCGGTGAGGCTGAGCAGGCTGGCGAACGAACACCGCCAACATTTATGGGACAAGGCCAGCCGCTGTGCGTGCATGCAGCTGCGCTGACCCGACCTGCAGCTCCGCGATTGTGTAGCCGCGGAGGCGGATCCCTTCCTCAGCGTCCAGCAGCGATACCTCCCAGAGCATGCCCTGAAGGTTTGCAATTACCAATAAGTTTTGATGCATTAATGCGTGACGCACCCTCAACAAGTGGAAGGTACAAGGGGCAAAACATGGCGGGCTGCTCCCTCAAATGAAACGAGCGCTTGCATGTCCTCACATACATGCACATAGAATCGGGCCCATGCATCACTTCAAACGGCCTGGCAAAGGGGGAGGGCGCATGTGCACCGATGATGTGGCGGCGCCAAAAAATCGCCCGACTGTCGTGGGTGCGTATCACTTCCAGGGTGCGTGTGTGCCTGTGGCTCACCGGGATGGCGCGCATGCCGCCCAGGGCCTGATCAACAGTCACCTCGCCCAGGCTCCTGGTCCCGTGGGCGCGCTTGATGTTGCGCAGGCGCTCCTGCGGCAGCGAACCGGACGGTGTCAGAATGGCGAGTGGTGCACAGCGGGCGTGGGACTGCTGCTGCTTGACCAAGCGCGATCGCGGCCGAGCGAGGGCACTCCAGATTATCACAATGTGTATAATGTGGCTCCTGCAGACGCTGCACCCGCGGTTTGGGCGTCTGGGCGAGGTCAAACCTCACGATCTGGGTGAAGGGAGATTCACCTGCTCAGCTGGGATCGCCGCGGCCACCACCGACTTGATGTCATTGCATACATTTGACTGCTTTGAGGAGTGGCCGAGGGTAACGCCCAGCTGGGCAGCGTTTCGGCCCGGCTGATGAGCCGCCACGGTCGCGAGGAGCGTCGTGCTGGACATACAGTGGCTCAAACAAGGGCTCAAGGTTCTAGTGGTCCACTCGCAGATGCGTGCACGACGCGCAGCTGTTCAGATCAGCGTGCCGAAAATAGTCGATTACGCGCAACTGCAGGGAGTTTGCTGCAAGTCGATGCAATGAGATGCATGCGACAGAGGTTTGACTGGGAGGAAAAGCGGAAGGAGTAAGCAGCGTGCGCCCTAAGAATTTGAAGTACGTGTAACCTTGGCCACGTGCACGTCTTTCTCTTTGTCCGGGGCTCTGAGGTCTTATGCAAGTACATTTTATGTGAAACTTTAACGCCGTAAAACGATCAGGGTGGCGTCCAACGAAGGCACAACCCTGGGCACAATGCGTCATCGCCGCCTGGCGGCCGCCCACTTGGCAACTCGTGTCGCGGGGGGGGGGGGGGGTGAACGGGTGATGTCAGGGGCGTGCAGGTGGGCGATGTGACTCATGTATCCATGGAGAGTGACGATCCCTTGATTTTTCTACCCATGTTGCACCTGTCATTTCCTTCCACAACATGCAGCATCTGATAGGCACACTTGATACGATGCGGACTCGTCAACCTATGACGGTTTAAGTAGCCGCTGTTGTTTTGTTACATCAGAATGCCTGCGCACTATTCTTGGCTTGGACGACCTCCGTCCACACCCATTATAGATTCTTGCTCATTATGTGGCATGCCGCCACTGCCAGAGTGTGCGAATAAAAGGCCAGCCCTTGGCCCACAGATTGCTCGTGACGCCTGCCTTGCTGCCTGCAGGCACTTCACGGCTCAGACTTCCAGCCTGCCGCCGCGCGGTCAAGCACGTAACTAGCCATGTCCTGTACCTCCTCGTCGCTGAAGCGCGGCCCAAACGTGCACTGGCCCTGCAATTGGCAGCAGGCGGGTTCGCCATCAATAATGGGGTTGGCCGCAACGCAAGCTACCCTTGGCCAGCTGCAAGGTGCAGGCCTTGCTCCCTTGAGCAGTCGATCCAACCGTGGGCTGTGAGGCAGCATCGGGTTGCTGGTTAGGGTGGAAAGCTTACAGTCCCGTTGCTGGCGTCGATCTCACGCACACTCACCCGCGGCGCGCAGTCCTTGCCAAAGCCCGGCATCTTGCCCTTGCCCTTGTATATGATCTCATACAGCCCCTCCGGTGTTGCCCGGCCGTTACGCTGCATTAGTTCAGGGGATGGGTGCAGCAAAGCTTTGCGGCTTCAGCCACTGGTGCCATGCAGCTGGCGTCCCCTGCCCATGCGTGCTGCTGGGGGCGCTGCCAAGCAGGCACCCAAGATGTGTTCACTCATATCAAACGGCGCCCACTCTCGGCGCCTTAAGAACGGCTGTGCCATCAAGCACACGACTCAACTTGCCTCCTTTTGCCCGATCATACCTGGAGGTCTTCAGTAAACAGGGTGGCGCCCGGCTGCTGCACGTTGCCGCCGCCCACATGGCAGCCGGCGCACTTGACAGCAAACGAATCGGCCGCCGACGCCCAGGCTGCCTGGAGGATGGACGCCGCCACACAGAAGTTGCACGGACATACAGCATAATCACAGTGCGACATGGGAAGCAACTGGGTGTACAAAAGCATCGGTGCTGCTGGATCAGCAAGAAAACGAAGCCTCACCGGCGGCAAGGCGCTGCACCCTGCACATGAGATGGCAATTGAGGCTGCAGCTGCGCATGCGAGCCGCATGGTGGAGCTGCCCTGGGCCCAGAAGTTTGCGGACGGCTCCGCAGCGCTTCCGTCCAGCCGCGCGGCGATCCGCGACACTGCGCGACGGGGTGCACGACGATGTGGCCGCACACGAGCCGCTGCTCGACATCCAGCGTGGCCGCAAGCCTGCGGGCGGGAAGGGGACCCCGGAGTCGCTTGAGTCGCTGTATTCAATACTTAATTACGGATAAGAAAAGCAGTGGGCCAAATGCGCATTTGGCCGCACCTGGCGCTGCGCGATCTGGATCATATCGACGGCGTTCTGTACAAGTGAAGATGCAACGTCATTGATGACACCGAGTCCGCGCGGGTGCAGGTGCAAGGCGAGCAGGGAATTGCCATGGGCACCGACAGCTCACCTGAACTGTTTAGTACTCATGCACATTGGACTGCGATCGCTCATTGTGGTCACTGGTCAGCATCAGTATTTGTGGGCCTGACCAGCAAGGAAGTGGCAGCGCCTTCATATGCAAGGTTCAATAATGTTTGAATGCCACGTGAGGCAATGTGCAGTGGCGCCTGTTGCCGACATCCTCCCCTGCACCGTCTGTTCGTGCTGGCTGACTGCTGCGGCCGAGGCCGCCAACGTCACTTGGGCGCTGGCCACTGCAAACCATTGCAAGGAATGAAATTTACAGGCCTGTATCCATGGAATGCCACGCTGACCCAGAACAGGGATCCAAAAAAATGAAGAATGGGGGATGCATTCGCATCCATTTGGCAGCGCGGGACCTCGACGTCTGTGCAATCCTGCAGGGCCCGCCGCTGCTGCAAAGCCGCCTCAGCCATGCCAATGCTGCTGATCCGCCGATGGGCCAACCGTGTGCGGGAGCGCAAGTGCAGTCGCCGCCGCCGCGTGGGCCGCCGCTTCCGCCTCCTTTGCCGCAAGCGTGCCTGGGCTGCTGCTGCCACCATCCAGTGCTGCTGCAGGCACAACCAAGCGCCGCCACGCCACACGGACTTCCGCTGCCGCCTCTGAAGTGGCTGCAACCATGTGCGCCACTGCAGGCGCAGGTGCAGCGTGGGGCGCCCCGCCGTGGCCACCGCGACGTGCACGCACAGGCTCCTGCGATTGCTGCTGCTGCTGCTGCTGCTGCTGCTGCTGTCGCTGCTGTGGTTCCTGCTGTTGCTGTTGGGCCCAAGATGCGGGTCCGCGGTGGACGGGACGTTGCCCCTCAGAGGAAGCCGGCGGCCCCAGCAGCTGCTCAATCAGCTTCAGCTGCTGCGCGTCCAAGCCGTCGCCATTGCCCGCCTCGTCGTCACCCGACCCGCTCTGCAGCACGCCGGCCACGGCCACCGCCCTGGCGCCCCGAACGGCCTGCGGCGAGGGCTGCATCAGCGCGCCCGCCTGCAGCAGCAGCTTCAGGGCTTCTGTTTGCTCTTCATGCTGCGGCGGCCGCCGCTGCTGCGCGCGCTGTGTGCGCTGCTCCCGCAGCTGCAGCGGGGATGGCGCCTGGCGCAGCGACAGCCCGTGCAGCGCCTGCAGCTGCCTCAGCGCAGGCGCCGTCGGCGCGGCCGGGGCTGCGGGTGGGGGCCGCGGGTGCTCCCCAGGGGGCGGGGCGATGCGGAAGACGACTTGGAGGGAGCCCCTGACAGCGCCTGCGGTGGCAGTCGTCGCGACCGCAGCAAACTGCGCAACCGCACTCGCGCCGGCCGCCGGCGAGGGCGCCTCCCTCGCTGTCGCACAGTGCGCCGCGCGGCTCAGCTGCGGGAGCAGCTTGATGAACCCGCCCGCGCCCGACGCGCCTACGCGGATTGCTGCGCTGGCGGGCGCAGGCGCAGCCGTCACCGCGGCCTCCTGGCGGGCGACTCCAGGGCCGGCACCTGCTGCAGTCCTCAGAGCGTTGTCTGGGGAGCCACGCCTGAGCGCTTCCGCCGCCTCCTCGTGGCAGAGCAGCAGCCCCACGCCTGGCGAACCCGCGCCGTCGGCGCCGGCGCCGGTGTCCGGGGCGGCGGTGCGCTCGCCGCCCTCCTGTGCACGCGGCGTGCCCTCGGCTGGCGCGGCAAGCAGGGTGGCGGACGTGGGGCCGTCCTGGGTGCCTGTCGGGCTCGGACCGGCCAGCTGCTCTGGACGCCCCGGAGCGCGCTGCGGCTGCCCAGGGACCACGGGCTGGGCCTGCGCCTGCGGCGGCCCGGCCGCACGCGTGAGGCCCCCCAAAGGTGGCCGCTGCGCAAGCTTGCTGGCCGCGGCGCCGGCCGCCAGCCCCGCCAGGATGGGGAGCGCAGACATCGCATCAAGCTCGTCCTCTGTCAGCTCAGAGGCGGCGCCGCTGCCCCCTCCGGCGGCGCCTCTGCTCTCGAGGCTGCCGCCGCCAGTACTGTCGACCGAGAGCCGCCGGCCGAGCGGCTCGGCGGCGGGCGGCGCGCCCGTCGCAAACGGCAGGGCGGCGGACGGCCGCGGCGCCCGCGGCGGCGCCGCGGGCGGGCGTGGCGCGTCGTTGCGCCACGGCTGCGGCGGAAAAGCGGGGCGCGGCTGCGCGTGCGGCCCGAGGGCGTCTCTTGGCTGAGCGGCAGCGGGCTGCACACACGGTGCGGGCGCCTCGTGCGCTCGCTTGGCCGCTGCGGCTGCCGCCGCCGCGGCTTGCATGCGGAGGCGTGCTATCTTGTCCAGCTGGCTAGCGCAGGCCAGCACCGCATCGCCCCCCCAAAAGAAGTCGCCCTCCCGCCGCCCGCGGTTGCTGCGCGTGCTGCGCCGCACTGCGCCGGCGCCGTCCCCCTCCTGCTCACATGTCAGGCGTTCAGTGTCAGCCTCCTGGCTGCTCAGCTGCTGCTGCTGCTGCTGCCGCTGCTGCTCCTGCTGTTCATGCTGCTGCTGCTGCTGCCGCTGCCGCTGCTGCCGCTGCCGCTGCTGCTGCTGTCGCTGCTGCTGCTCTTGCTGCTGCGTGTCGCGTTCCTGACTGCGCCTGCCGCCGCTGTCATCAGAGCTGGCATTCTGAGACACCACCTGCTTGCGTGGCCGACGGCGGACGGGCAAGGAACTGCCAGGCTGTGTGGCGAGCCCGCTGCCCTGCACGCCTGTGGTAGCCACTGCAGCATCTGCCGGTGCGGGCTGAGGGTGGCTTGGGTGTGTGCCGAGGCCGCGGGTCGCTGTGGCGCAGGGCTTGGTCGGCACACGTGGCGGTTGCTGCTGCTGCTGCTGCTGCTGCTGCTGCTGCTGCTGCTGCTGCTGGGGAGGCCGGCTGTGGACTGCAGGCACCTTATTTATGGCAGTGGGTGCTGGAGTGGACGATGCAGCCGCCAGCAGCTGCCAGCCGCCCGCATCACCATGCTTTGGCTGCATGTGGGTGCGGCGTGACGGGCGGCGCACCAGCTCAAGAGGGGCGTGGGCCGCATGCAAGCCCTGCGGCAGGGCGCTGCGGCTTGGCTCCTGCTGCTGCTGCTGCTGCTGCTGCTGCTGCTGCTGCTGCTGCTGCTGTGGCTCTGGCAATGACGATGGCAGCGCCACACATGTTGCGCCCCCGCGCCTGCGCTTGAGGTCTCCCTGTTGAAGCTCCTCAGGAGAGCGGCCCCCTGGCGAGCCCGGAGAAGCAACAGCAGGCGGATCGCTCTCTCCCTCGCGGCCGCGGCGCTTTCGGGGCTGCACAGTTGCCGACCCCCTGGCTGCTGCGGTCGGCTGTGGCAGATTTGCCGCTTGTGCGCCGTCCAAGCCGCCAGCGCCACCGCTGCCTGACGTTGCCGAGCCCTGCCCCGCCTGCATTCTCCTGCGGGCCATCGGGGGTGCCGCTGCTGCTCTTGTGCGCGTCAGCTGCCGCGGATGCTGCAGTTGGCCAGGGACAGGAGGGGCTGCTGCCACGGCGTTGCAGGCCGCGGTGTCCTTGGTCACTGCAGCTTGGTGGTCGCTGCTGCTGTCAACCTGCGCCTGCCCTGGCAGCTGACTGAGCGTCTGAGGCTGTTGCTGCTGCTGCTGATAGGAGCCCGCAGAGACCCCTGGCTGCTGTGGCAGCGAGGGCTCTCCAATACGCCTGCCCGTGCTGCTGCTGGGCGCGCTGCTGCCGCCGCCTCTGCTGTAAACGTCTCCGCTCCCCCCATCGGTGCTGCTGCTGCGCCTGCTATTTGCTGGCAACGCAGCGGCGCACGGGCTGGGGCCGTCACGCTGATCCCGGCGCTCGCTGCCGCGGCTTCCACTCAAAGTGACACCAGGGCTAATGCCAGGATTGCGCCGCATAGACGCCACGTGCGCAGATGGCGGCTGGGTGGTCGTGGGCCGCTTGACGGGTGCCGCGGTCTCCTTGACAGGCAGCCGGCTGCGAACGGGTTGGGATGGGGTAGAGAGGGTGGGTGGGGGCAAGGGGAGAAGGAGATGTGCTTACTTGGCTGAGGTGCGGCAGAAATGGCTACCGTAATCATTCCAATTCTTGGCCGAGCGGGCGGCCACACTCAGCTACAAAGCAAGCCATCGCTTCCCATTTTCCCCAGTTGACCGCCACTCACGCGTGCTTGGCAGCTGCTGCCTGCATCGCTGCCGCTACCATCTCCTCCACCTTGGCCGCTGGCAGCCCCGCCCGCTGGCCCATCTCCCACAGCTTGTCCACCAAAAGATTGTCGCTTTGGGGCGCCGCGCCGTCGGGCGCCTCGTCGCATGGCGTGGCGCCAGGAGGCGCGGCTGCACCAGGGGCCGCCAAGCCGGGCGCAGTGGGTGCTCCTGCGGTTGGGCCACGCCGCTGCTGCAGCAGCACCTGCTGCATGAGGGCGTGCGGGACCTGCTGATGCTGCTGGCGCAGCTGCTGCCGCTGCTGCGCCTTAGCCTGCACCAAATGCTGGGACTGCAGCTGCTGCCGTTGCGCCTGCTGCTGCGCCGGTTGCTGGTGGCCGTGCCTGGCCTTTTTGTGCGGCCCTTCCATCAACTCTTTGAGCTGGTAGTTGGCGGCCCGGGCCTGGTCAGGGCCTCCCTGAGGGGGCTGAGGAGCTGCTGGCGCCGGGGGTGCCATCCTGGAGGCTGCTGAGCGCGGTGTTGCTGCTCCTGTGCGCCCACCTGTTGACCCAGCGGTGCCGCCTGGCCAGGCCGTCAGCATACGCGGCGTGCCTCTGCCCGTTCCTGTCAACGAGGCAGCCTCCATGCCCCGCCCGACCTCCGCGCGGCCAGCGCGTGTGCACTCCTCAGAAAGCCAGTCAAGAGGGGCTGTGCGATGTCGTCACGGTCCCGCCCGGCTCAGACTTGTGCCAGCTCTAGCTGCTGCGAGGGCCCAGTGAAATATGACGATGTCCAATCAAGAGTCACATGGCGCAGCGCTCCAAGCCCTTTCCAGGTCGAGCTCAAAGACAGGGATCCACAGATCAGCCAATGCTTGACCCATCTATACCCACGTGCAGCACGCGTAAACTAACCATTGGCATCATATGATGCGACACGCCCAAGCGCATGGGTGGCAGGCTCACCGTTCTGGAGCAGCTCTGAATTCGCGCCCCAGATCAGGGCAGGAGTCCCGTATTCGGGTCCATCAGCTAACTATCCAATCATGAGATCGGCCTGCTACCTTTATGGGAAAGCGATTGGATCGTTGGGCCTCCTGTCGCAGGATCAAAATTAAAAATCCTGAAATCAGAAGCAGCTCAACCAGCAACCAGGTGCTTGACAATGATGTTGTACATGTGTTTATATGGTATTGAATTTGTTCTGTTCGAAGCAGAGCGCGCTTGGTGTCACATCAAGCACACTCGCCCCGAGTGGTGGTTGCCAGCTCGCTCAGGTGGCCGCCCCATCCAGAGCAGTCACCCGCTCCATAACTCTCTCAAGAACTCCGCAACAGGTGGTTACTTGACGCCATAAACACAGTCTCATCAAATTTGTCCAACATTGCCCGGCACGGAATCAAAACAATACACCCAGGAAGCGACATGTGCAGCTGAAAGTTGTGTCCCAACCTCACTCCACAAGGGACAGAAACTCAGCAGGGACGCAGCAGCTCGCTCGCTACACAGCTCACTCAAAACACCGGCCAACGCGTCCCCAACGTCCTCTCCAGATCACGAGATCTGCAGATCACGCGATGACCTCCAGGCTGCGCAGCCGCCTGATGTCATCGTCCCCCAGCCCCAGCTCACCCGCCAGCACCTCCTCGGTGTGGTGCCCCAGTGACGCCCCCGCCCACCGCGTCGCGCCAGGCGTGCCCTGCATGACCGGCAAGATTGCAGGCATGACCAGCTCCTCGTTCCGCGCAGCAGCAGTCGACGCCGACGCCGCCTGGTCAGCATCGGCCGCCCCGCCCCGCTCGCTGGCAGCGTCGCCGCCCCCTGCAGCTACTGCCGTCCGCTGCACGCGCGGCCGCGGCGGCGCGGCGCGTTGGAACATGCCGCGCTCCACGAACTGGGGCTCGCTCAGCAGGTCGATTGGCCTGAGGATGGGTCCTGCGGGCACGCGCGCTGCCCTCATCGCATCCAGGACCTCCTCCAGAGTGTGCTGGCTTGCCCTGCAGCAGCCCACGAAAGCAGGCAGGTCACGCAGGCCAGAGAGTGTGCGCAGCTTGGCGCGGTGGTGACCAGCCAAACAGCAGCGGCCACAACAGCAGGCTCCGCAGGCTCCGAACTGCAACGTGCATCGCAGTCGTGCTTGTGTTTGCACATGACACAACATTGTGTTCATTTCTTATGCCGACCTGAGTGCCTGCATCCCATGCGTACATCCACCCAACATGTATGCTCAAACACACGCCCACACGGACGCACGCCGACGCACGTGGACACACGCACATACACAAACTCACAGAACGGGGGCGAGAGAGGGACAGAGAGAGAGCCAGAGAGCTCGCAATCACGCAAGTGAGAGGGAGACTCACCACTCTGTTATTGCGCCCATGATTTCAGCCTCAGCCTCCACCCGCTTGGGATTCGTGCTGTACCGCTCGCTCGCCGCCGTCATCTCCGGCCGCCCGATCGCCTGCGGCGCACGGTGCAGTGCAAGCGATTTACGGGCTGCACTTTAATCACCGCCAAGCAGACACAGCGACCGCTTCATGCTCATGCGCGCCTCCACTATGCGAAACCAAATCTTGGGATCAAGGGACCCCACCGTCATCAGCCGCGAGTAGACTGAGTCGCCATTGCCGCCTATCACAACGAACCGCCCCTCCTTGGTGCTGAACGTGCCCGATGGGACGACTCCTGGGAGGGGCGACATGAAAAGAGTGGAGCGCAGCACGGACTGGGGGAAGCACGCCTCTGCAGCATGGGCAACACATGCTGGGCGCGGTTTGTCGACTGCGCCAGGGGTCGCGGGGCACGCGCACTTCCTAAAACCCAAAGTCATCTGACACACCACCCTCACCCGAGATGGTGCTGCCTGACGGCGGCCGGTTGTGCCCAGCGGCCGTCGCCTCTGTCACGCACGACTCGAGCATGTTGAATATCGACTCTGAAATAGAGGCATCCACCACCTGGCCCCCGCCCCCGCCCTCGCTGCCGCCAATCCTGGGCAATGGATGAGGGGTCGGTAACCAGAGGTTGCAGCATGGTTGGCCAGCAAGTGGTTTGAGGGGGTCCTGCAAATGTTTGTGCTGGACGCCGATCCGCCTACCTCTGCCGATGCAGCAGCGCCATGACAGCCCCGAAAGCCCCGTGCAGGCCCGCCAGCGTGTCTCCAAGAGAAATGTTGGGCCGCACTGGGGGCCTGACAAAAGGGGGGCAGATGTTCAGGCAGACGAAGGGCTTGCAACATGGTAGGGGTCAAGTCAGTACACAGATTTTCCAGGGACATAGGGGCGGGCAAGGCGCCCAGGGCTTCACCTGGCATCATCGCTATCAGACAGATAAGGGGGGCGCAAGGTGTGCAAGTGGGACCCAACATCCAAACAGCCTTCCTGCCGGCCTGCTGCGACTGCCTGCTGTCCGGCGGCAAACCTGTCTGGGTAGCCGTTTATAGAACGGAATCCACCAAACGCCTCGCAGACTGATGCATATCCCGCCTCTGTAGCTTTTGGCCCTGTCTGGCCTGAAGCAGGTGGGGGCGTGGAGTTGAAGCTGCTAACAGAACAAAGAGTGAAGGCCCTCGCGGTGACGTGCAGCCCAAAACAAGGGCAGAGCACGTCAAGAAAGGGTGAGTACCAACAGGCCCGGCTGGCAGGGGCCACAAGGCTCACCATATCCACTGTGGGCCATACGTCCAAAATGAAGCAGCAGATCAGGTGGAGCACATAAGGGAAGGTCCAAGGCGGCAGCAGAGTTGATTAATTCGGATAAGAGATCTGGGTCCTCCTCGGGGAGCGCTGGCGGATGCCAGGTCACGCAAAGTCGCCGCCAGGAGGGCTGCTGAATCTTGCAAGCAACAGCCTCCATGCTTACTAGAGCTCATCCAACTACCAGCGCTGCTCGGCACCAGGAGGCCGTTTCACGATGTGTTCGCACCTGATCCGCGTGTACACAAGCTCGGGCTTCAGATCCTTTGGCGCCAGGCCCCACTTCTCCATCACGCCTGGCCGGAAGTTCTGCAGGCATGGGAAAGCCGGCCGCAGACGACGCCGTCATGACCGTTGTCAAACATACAGTGCTGACGAGGCGGCCCGTGCGCGCCGCGCCCCTTTGTGGTCTGTCATGAACCCTTGCCTGGACTGCAGCAGGGGGCTTATCGTCTGGAGTCGCAACAATTTTCCAGAGGCGAATGCGCCTCACCTCAATCAGGACGTCTGATTTGTTGGCGAGCCTGCGCACCAGGTCCTGGCCCTCACTCTTGTGAAGGTCTATCGCAACACAGCGTTTGTTTCGGCCCTGGGGCAGGGGCGGTTCGGGGTGGTTGGAGCCGGGGTCGGCAGGCTGGGTGAGCGGGGCGTGCGGACTGCAGTCCAGGCCGCGCCTGGTGGACGTGCGCGCCTGGACACGCGTCCATGAGGTTCTGCCATGGCCATGAGAAAGGGCCATTGCTTGCTACTGCAGTTGTGCACCGGCGTCGCTGGCCGCTTGTCGTGGGATTGGGGCTCCGGCCGCATCAGCGCTTCAGAGGGCCAGGAGCCCGGCACAGGGGTGGGATCGTCCGCCTGCTCACATGGCAGCGCCACCACAGGGACTCCCCGCTGGCGTCCAGGATGCGCAGCGACCTGATGGGGTCCCCTTTTGGCGGCTCCACCTATTGGCCAGCAAGAAGATGTACCGTAACGGAGAGTAGGGAAAAGTCCGGTATTTCACATCGGCAAGACCTGCCGCACCGCCGCAGCCAGGCACATCACACATATTTGCCACCAGGTCCTTGCAGCTGAGTGCTGCTGCGGCTACATATGGAGATAAGGAGCTCCATTTGCCTGTTATAATGGACACACTTTGACTCCTATTTGCAGGCGTCGACATGATCACCTTGATGACATCAGCACCAAAGTAGCCCAGCACCGCACCGCAGAAATTCCCTGGGGCCATTGATGTGGGTTCAAATCAGATGCAGCTTGCCCTGGTGAAGAGCAAAGCGACAGCCTAGGCATCATGTGGCGCCTAGGCGCCGCGTTTTGTGCATGTTGGCTTCAACGCGCCGGCCAATACACCCACACCAGGGCTGCAATGGCAATGCGCCCACCTGCCACCACCTGCCCAAGGTCCAGCACCTGTTGGAGGAGGGAGGAGGCGGGGTCTTTTGCTCAACGTGGAGGCGCACGCACGTGCATTAGCTGCTGCACTGCATGACGCTCCCGCTGCAAATCGGCTACCCACAGCTGCAGTCATGCAATGGACGTTCGCCGCACGACCGACGCAGCGGCCGAATGCTCAGGCTTGCGCGCTGCATTATCAACGGCACAGGTGCATCAGAATCCCAGCACTGATGAAACTGCGGACCACCAATGTACATAGGGTACATGTGGTGGGCGGCGTTGCATGATTGCATTTGCCGTCCACGACCAAAGTACGAAAGTGGCACACCTTGACTCCCACGAGCGGCCCGCTCGGAGGCGGTTCATCGAGTGGTTCATGTGCCTGTTGGCTGATGAAGCACCGCAGCAGTGCCCCTCGTGGATGGGGCGGAATGCTGCTGGGAACAAGAAGCCCGCGGGCTCCGTACTGCAGCAGCATGGCTTCACCTAGCTGGGTGTGAAGGGCTTGATTGAGTTTCGGTGAATGAATGAGCAAGCGACAGAACCATTGCTACCTTCGGGTGTGAAGCGGATGAGTGCGCCGCTGTTGCTGCTCGCGCTGCTCTTGCTGCAGAGTCGGTGTGCACAGGCGGCCGGCGAGTGCGGCGCACCACTCTCATTGCAAGATGATGCTGTGTGAGTGACTGAGAGCATAATTGTGCCTCTATCTCAAACGGGAGATCCCAAGGCAAGGGCGAAAGGCAAGTCAACCGCGTGCTGGCGCTTCATGGGATGGTGCCATGAAAGCATCTGCCTCCCCGAAAACTCCCCCCGAGGCGCACACCTAAAGCACGCAGCCCAGGCGACTAAACCCCTCGCAGACCCTGCCCGGCGCACAAAACAACCTCACAAACCTACTTGCGCCCCCCATCGGCCCCCGCG